TTCACACCCAAATCTATACCCTTAGGACCTAAGTCTGGCATATTTAGCAGAGCAAAAAAGGGCAACACATATGCTACTTCTACCCATTTTCCTTGTTTTTTTTTTTTTTTTTTACAGAACCGGTCTAATTATCAAACAGTATACTTAAGAGACCCTCCAACTGGCCACCATTCACTGTCCTCCAGTGGGTACCGCGGTCATGCAGTATCACATAGGAAGACCAGGTGTGTCTTCTTTAAGCCCTGGGGATCAAATCTATCCCAGTTGTTCAGGATATAGTTCAAAGGAGTGAGGCTGGAATTGTTAGCTCCCATCTTGTCCTGAAGGATCCCAGATGAGCCCCCAAGATGAAAGGTTGTTGCTGAATCATGCAAAGATGCTGGGGTTCTTGGCCTCCGGAGGAGAAGAATTCAATCCAGTGCCAGAGATGAGGATGGATCGCTCAGAGCTTTTGTGTAATAAAGTTTTATTAAAGCGTAAAGGAAATAGAGAAAGCTTCTGACATAGACATCAGAAGGGGGTAGGAAGAGTACCCAACCTTCAGATTCTTGCTAAATAGACCAGAAATAGGAGGCCTCTCCTACTGCTTCCGTGGGCCCATGGAGCTGAGCCTGTATTCCAGTTGCTCCTGCAGGTGGTTGTTAATGCAGATGGACTCCTCTAGGCACTGGTGCAGATTCCAAATTTCACCAAGATGTTCCTCTAGCAGGTCAGCCCCTGCAGCCACCTAGCAGGACAGGAGGAGGTGGTGATGGAGCACCCTGGGCACTCATGGGGCCCACATTGGGGGTGGGGCTCGGCCAGCAAAATCCCTAAAGATCACCATCCTCTCTCACACAGACATCCAGAAGTTTAGCTGAGCTTGCGGGAAGAGTAAACTGGCTTCAAACACAGGACAGGTGATGCTAAGCAAGCCCCACTGGCTTCCTCCCATACAGGGGTGTGTGTAAGGGAGTTGTAATACCTGGACAGTTACCTGGGCAACTGGTAGGTTTAAGGGGTTTCCCATTGTCTAGAAAAATAACTGAAGGCTGTGGATCTGGGTCTAGACCCTAGACAGGTGTGACCTTTGCCTGAGTTGACTTGAGGGTACTAGGGAGGAGCTC